TTTCACAGGGTGCGAGTGTGAAAGCTCCATACAGCCAGGAGCCTGGTTAAAATGGGAAGGGGGACATGTGTAAAAAGAGATAAAATAAAAAGGAAAAAAGTAGCCCCGTTTGTCACAGATGTATCAGGTGTGAAAGAGTCACCTGCTCCAGTAGATAAAAACAACCTTCAGTATAAAAAATGCGTCCTGGATTTTACTAAAATGTGTGTAAATCCATCCATAATGCCTTTTCCCTTCAGCAGTGGCATGGGCCAGCATTCACCATGCATATCAAACATGGTGAGCAAGGACAAGACACCCAAATCTTTTCAGAGCAAACACCCCTCACTGTCAGTGCCTTGCGTTGCCCCTTCCCAAATGCTGATACAATTTCCAGTAGCTGCCACCAACAAGGCAAAGGCACTGCTATTCCTGCCCATTGTGTTCCCAGTGCCTCCTGCACTGGAACACAAACAGAACATCCTCACGCTTTATCCCCACCCTTGTCCTGCTCCAGGCTGCAGGAGGGAGGTAGGAGAGAACATCTCTATCCCAAAGGTGATAAATTTGAAACCTTCCCCCTGCAGGCAGGAAACGCCGCGTGGGCTCCACCTTCCTGTTCACAGATGTATTGTATCACTGGAACATGTTCAACCGATAAACTTGATGGGCTCGATACTTCTCTTTGAAATCAGGATGGTTTGTTCCAGCTGGGGCTGGTATTTGCTCACTGAAGGCCCGTGGTGACTTCAGTCTTGTCTAAAGCGCATCAGGGCAATGCCTCATCCGGACCCTTGCCCTGCCCTCTCCTGCAGCAGCTGTGAAGCAAAACCTGCTGCCTTTGGGTTCCTGAGGGGCTTCTGAGTGCCTTCACAAGGTATGGAGGTCTCTCTTTGCAAAGAGGGAAGGCTGCAGCCCCAAAGAGGCACAGATGGCCATCCAACACCACAGGCAGCAGGAGCAGCACCTGGAGCACCACTGGGCTCATCCTTTCTCCCAGGTGCCACTGCCTTTGGAGTTAGGGCAGCTCAGGTGCTTTGATTCCAAAAATCATGGGGGACATTTGTTACCAGCTGGAGATGAATGGAGGTCAGCCTCCTCCTGGGCACCACTCAGCTGTGAAAAGAGGTAATACCTGCTGCAAAGAAAAGGAAAATCCAAGTCTAACAAGAAAAGAAAGACAGGAAAAGTAAAAACGCCGTGGCTGATGTGTGGCAGGGCAAGATGCAAAGTCACCACTCCAGCCAGAAGTGAAAATATCTGCCTGTAATGATGTTTGTTGCACACAAGAACAGAGGCAACAGGACGTCAGGAAGAAATGTGTTAACATAAGGAACCTACATTTCAACCAGCATATATGAAACTTCTGGGATTGGAAGATACACATACGTTGAACACAATTTAAACAATGCAAAGTATTTATAATATCTGCTTGTTACTGGAGCACCTGAAATTTTTAATTGAATTTTTAAGACAGGATATTTTTTTCAGTAAAGTAACTTTCTTTTTCTAATTTTACTTATCAAAACAAGGGCAAAAGCAAGGTGCAGCAAAAGCAAATAATAATAATACACAGGGAAAAAATACAAATGTGGAGCAGAAAGATATGAAACCATTAGGAGGAAGAAACAGCTAGAGACAGAAATAGGTGCCTTGCCAAGAGCAAGCAACAATTCCCTGAGAGAAGCTGACTCAGAAAAGAGGGCAGGCAGGACTGGAAAGCACGACTCACCCAGCTCAGGGAAAACCAAGGGGTAGGAAGAAGTGGAAAGAACTGACTGCAGGACAGCAAGAGGGGAAAAACCCTGTAATTTGTCATGGTTCTTTCACTGCAGGTGAAGTGAAAGTCACTTCTGCCATGCCTCTCACCTACTGCACTTCCACAGGCATGTCCCACCTAGAAGCTCTTTCGTGAGATCCTTCAGAGTGAGCTGCCACACCACAGCAGAGGAATTGTCCTTGTCACATAAACACCCCTGGTCATTGCAAACAATGCAGCAGAGATTTAGAGGGAAAAGGGACAGTCCTGTACCAAACTAAACCAAAAAAACAGGTGCCTTCAGAGGCACAAGGGCAAAGGGTGAAAAGTACTTGTCCATTTTCAGAAGGGACTAGGGAAGGAGAGTGTAAAAATTGGAGGGGACAAAATATTTAATGGATGGCTGACCTAGAGAACACTGACTGCCACAGCACATCTTGCTCTCAGACCACAGACACTGCTTAATTTTCTATGTTGCAGAAAGAACTAACTTGAGATGTACTATTCTGTCCTGGTAAAGTTAACTTCTCTCCATCCTTTTGTGGCTTAGGGAAAAAAAAATCAGATTTAAAAGAATATTTTGAGGGGGGAAAAATAATCATTCTCTGAAGCATAGTCTTCAATCTAAGAGTTATCAAATCCATGTCATCAGCTGATTTCACTCTCAAACATACGTCAAGTCAAAGAGCCTCAGTGGTATTTGTGACATTTGTTTTCAAAACACAAACTACACATGAGTTAGAAACAAACCACCAAGACAAGTATGTTGTGGCTTATGTTTTTCTTTTGAGAGTCATCCCAGACTCTTTTTCAGTGCCTCAAAGCCCTTTTCTGGCCACATTCATTAAGGGATTAATCTATTTAGCCCACGCCAGCTGACAGAGTTGGGATGTGGGGGAGGGCATCTTGCACTTTCAGTTAGCTTTAGTGACGTGCTCACACCACAATCTGGTGCTCACAGAAAGTAACTCATACACTCAGTGCTCTAGCATTGCCCCACAAAATCCCTCTTTCCCCTTCCAAGCAGAGAAGCTCCTGTAGAGTTCACCATGACAGACTCACAGAATGGACCAGTTTGCATCACCCCAGAAAGCTACTGAATATGCCCATGGGAGACTAGCAACACCAACAGTGAAGGAGGACACAGTAATTGGGACAGGATTTTAGAATCACTGCCCAGATACAAGCTAGGTTCCCTTACACGGAAGTTTGGGTCTGAGTGACAAGCACTGTGGTGAATTAACAATTCAGGAAGACTCAAAGATCCAGATACAAGGACATAAAACATTTCCTGATTTCAAATACATTGATCTTGCACCGTCAATAGGACAGCTAGTGTTAGAAGTTACCTTACACACTGCTTACTGGGGATGCAGGCCTAAACCATGGGATGAACATAAGAAGCCCCATTCCAGCCGGATCAGAAACCACGTTGTTTTGGCTTTTTCCCAGGAGCCATGGTGAGCCTCCTGTCCCTGTGTCTGATGGATGAGGCTCAAGCCCCTACCCTGCCAAGCAACCTATGCTATCTCAGGCAAGTTACATGGCTCCTCTGAGTCACCACAGCCTCTGAGGAGCACTTGGCACATGATAAAAATCTGCCTGCAAATTCCTCCTTATCTTGACTACAAATGCTTCGGGTTTCTTTTAAAAAGTTCCCCTGCTATGATATCTGTCACATCTACAGTCATGTGAGAACACAACACACATGGCTTCAAACCAACAATAAGCAGAGTTTGGAACTGTACCTAACACGATTGCTGTGTCATCACCGTCAGGAGGGCATAGAGGAAGAGGTGGGTGAGCAGCCTAGGTGGGAAGAACTGTTCCTTTTTTTAAAACATGTAGAGCAATACATCTGTGTGCATTCAGTGTGCTGTCTCAGAGGAGTGAGTCTGTCCCACACAATTGGTACTGCCTTTGGAAATCTCCACATGACCAAATGTCCAACTTTCTTCCCCTCCTTGGTGTCACACAGCAAGACCTTTGCATGTTGTTTTTCCTTAACTGCATCCTACTCTTTTGCTTCCCCCCTCTATCCTACTCCCCACTCTCACTTCCCCTCTGAGGAGGCCTGGGGCCTGACGTAACACCACACTGAAAAGCAGCTCATACTTTGCAGCCTTTCTTGTTCATTTTTGACTGAGTGAAGGCTGACGTAAGTTGGACACAAGGGCAGCACACTTCAATGCAGTTTCCAGAGCCAAACGCTGGGAAGAAGCTGCTTTGCCTTTGCCCTGTCCCCTCAGGGCCATTGGGACTGGCGAGAGCAGGCTGGGCCATGGCCCCAGCTCTGTGCTCAGGGGGAATGTATGAGCAGTACCCAGATCACAGCCCTGGCCCTTGCCCCTACCCTGCCCCCTTCAGCAGACACCACGGCATGAGAGGGGAACAGAAAAACAGAACAAATACTTGGCAATGCTGCCTCAGCACTCTGTCCTAGCTGGGAGGATTTTGTCATTCAGGGATTTTTAGCCTAGTCAAACGGGCTATTTTTGGCTATATACGTCACAAATCAGCACAAAGGGCATCACACCCTGCTCACTACTTTCCCAGCTGCGAGCCCTAGCTGCAAGCTAACTCCAAGGCAAGCCAGTGGACATCCCCCAAATCCTCTACTCTTAGGACATCCCAGAGACTCCCCAAGTCTATGCCAGGCAGCCACTCACTCCCTCCCTGTCCCCACGACCCTGCAAACGCAGCCCCTGGGCTCACGGGGCAGTGGACGCACAGCCTGCCAGCGCAGGGTGCCCTACAGCCCTTCAACACGCGGCTGACTCACAGGACACATCTCTCCCCATTTTTTTTTCCATTATTTACGTAAAAACCGTTCATAAGAGAGAGAAGCAATGACCATGTTGCATCTGCTCTTCACCCTTTTTTTTAAATTAAGTGGTTTAAGGATTTCCTGGGGGTCAGTTGGGCTGCAAAACCCCTCAAAGAAGGAAGCCTAGATTATGTACAAGCTTTTAATATGCACCAGGCCTGACACACCAACGGAGGGAAGCATCAATATAGTTTAGTGCTAGGTCTCATGTCCAGCACAAATCACTCCTCTCCAAATACAAATCACCTAAAAAAAAAAATCACTTAGAATGAATTTAATCTATAAACCATAGTGTGAAACTCCTACCCAACACACAGCACAAAATATAATAGGTAAAACTAAGGGAATTACTATGCAGCTATAAAAATATAAAGGACACAGGGTTACAGCAAAGAAGATAAACTGAGACTAAATCAGATTAAATGGTTCAAGTAAACTTGCCCTCTTTATTAGGAACTTTTCATTCTCTGAGTTTTTTGGCTATTTAAATTGTTTTTCTGATCACATCAGGAAATAAGACAGTAGAGCCTTCTGCATATTATAAGCATTACAATAGCATACATATATTAGAAAAAAAACAAGTTCTTTCTCCAACATACAGAATTTTCACTGCTCCCAACAGAGAGTAAGAGCCTTCCAAACAGTCCAAATATATATTAAATGATCTGGACTTTAGTAAGTGCTTTATAAATGAAAAACATGTGTGTGATTGAAGTTTTTTGCTGTTACTTAAACTGTCATGAATGGAAGAATGTTTTAACTCACACTTCTGCAACAAAACCAAAGCAAAACCCCAGTATACCCCACCCCTCTAGAAGGCAATTTCAAACCTTTGTTTTTGTCATGTACATATGAAATTGTTACGTGTAGTACCTAAAAAGTTGCACAAGCACTTGTGGTAAGCAAAGTTTCCATTTTTAATTGCTTACCTCTAACAAGTAGAACAATGAAAAATGGTGATTTAAATCTCATGAAGTTGTGCTGCATTGCAGATGAAATTAGAAGCAACTGAAAACTTGAAAAAAGGGAAACTTCTGCTTTTTGTCCTCCCTCCTCATCAACAATTCAACTCACATTTTTACTAAATTTCTAGAAGAAAGAAATCAGCCTGATATACATGAGACAAGACTCTCGAAATAATACAATGCAACACTAATAAATATAAAATGGAGTTTACTTATTTTATAAATTAATTACTCTGAAATCTTCTAACAAACACAAAAATAGTTTCTTTCACTGGAATTTAAGACAGCTGGATTTAAAATGAAGAAATTTAAAAAGAAAAAGTATCTATTGAAAGATTAATAATCAAAATGATCAGCACAACAATGAAAATATCAAAAATAACACCATTTCTTCCTTTCAAAGGAAGAAAATTGAAAGAAAAGGACAACAGGGTTTTGGAAAACCTTGTGAATTAGTTTTTTTATGTGTCAAGGAAGATACTTAACAGATGCTAAAAAATTCCTTTCCAGTCCTGTTTCACATCAAGTAACTTCAAAAATAACCAACATCTTAACCTAAGTCCCTATTAAAATCCACTTTAAACTTTAAAGAAACTGATTTAAAAATATTTTATTGCTTCTGTGTTTGCATATCCCATACATACACAACTGGTGTGATGGTAACAAGATGAGAATAGAAATGAAAAATCATTCAGAGATCACCTGAATGACATCTAAAAGCACAGTGTCCCCAAACACGAGTAAATCCTCAGTTTCTTCATTTCTCTTCCCTGTCTATTTTAGAGCCCGAAGAAATACAGTCTTCATCCTCATTCTAAACCAACTGGCAATCTCCCTGAAGTTCATTACTGACAAGTTAGTTCATCTGTTACTAAAAAATTAATCTAATTAATCTAAAGGATGAGGGTCTACCAGAAGGCAATTAGACACCTTTGCTAATAACAGCCCTGTTCTCTTTCCCTCAACTGTCAAAGCATCCAAAAGAATAGTGTCTTCTCTCTCTGTGCTTGGTAGCTAACAGTGATATAAAGCTGCTGTTGAGGAGCAGTAGCAAGTACTACAACACCCAGAGAAGACACATGCAGCCACAACATTTTCACACACAGTATGGCTTTATGAGTTAAACCTAATGGTCAGTCCACAAATTAAGTAGCTTCCTTCAAAGTAAGTCTAAAGTCCTATTTCCATGAGCATTATTAGGATAGAGTTGTTATTCAGGATGAAAGTCTTTACCTATTTTAAAAATCACACCTGGAAAAGATGAAAGGTAATTTTCCATTGTGGTAGTTTGCTTTCCCAGACCTGAATTGGTGTGGCCTCTTTTTAGCAGAGGATAAATTACCATTACCATATTGAAGTAAGAAATAGTTACCTAATGCTAATGTATGGGCAGATGCTGTGTGAGGCAGTTGTCAGCAGGAACCAGCAAATTGGATCTCTTAACTGTTGATTTGAAAAGCTAAGAATAGGTGCTATTTCAGTGTACACAATTCCTCCAGACATGCTTAAACATTTTAGAATTGTTAACTTTATAGGCGGATAATATCAATGCCTTTTACATGCTAAAGTAATTTATATTTGCTTTTTAACCACTTCTCAGTTGCCCTTTAAAATGAGCACAATAAGAAACACTGTTGCTGAAGCTGGTAGCATTGGCTCTCTTAGGGCCCTGGCAATAAGAGCACAAACCTCCTTAGGAGAGCAGCAAACCTCACAAAGGGTAAAACTTCTCTAACATAAAGACTTTTTGATTATTTCACCCTGTGCAATCTGCCAATTTGCCTTATTAATCTTCTCAGTTTGCTCACAAAGATTCAATTTGGTTTTGACACAAGCCAGTGAAGAAACTGGCCTGAGTGGGACCAAAACTAAGCATAGAACACTTCTCTGCTGTTTAATTTGGGAGTTGAGTTTAATAAAAAACTGTTTTCAAAGTGCTTCTAGTTAAAACTGTAGACAGGCTCAATCAAATAAGCAGCAGGAAATGCCAGGCCAGGAGGCTGGAGAGCCACCAGCCACCAGCAAACCTGGGTCTGTGCCAAGCAGATAAATAAAAGCAACCCTGGAAGCGCTTGGCTTTTGGGGTAGGGTATTCCACCTTTTGTACTGGCAGCAGTGAAGTTCATGAAGAAATGGCAGAACTGCCAGACCCTGAAAAGGAGCCATTGCATGGCCTTGACCACTACTGCCAAAGCACACCAGGGGCCCTGGGGTCACTGGGGCTCCCCATCCAGACACGGCGTATGAAGGATGCACCAGAGACACTCTGGGCAGCCGGGCTTCGCAGGACCTTAAGGGAACAGCTGTAGCTCGCAGGGAATGGAAACACTGACATTGGCAAATGAAACACTTTCACTGGCAAATGCTTTAAGCTTCAAGTAGGCCAGCCTGCAACTCCAGCCTGCAGAAACTGCCTGGGACAGTGTTTTCACTGAGGTCATAAAACACACATATCCTCACTACAAATCAAGAAGTAGACAGTGTATCAAAGCTCAAAAGAAATTCAGTAGTACAGGAAACCAAACTAAAATACTGGCTATTTGCACTATTTAGCAGCCATCTGTAAACAACAAAGGTGCCTAATTAGTGTGCTTGATTAAATTTCAGCAAATTCTTCATGACTTAATTCTACAGATATTGTGATTGTGCTTCCTTATTTGTGACTTCGGTACACTCCCTTCATGTTTCTAATTAGGACTTTGAAACAAGGACACAAACAAGGACACTCTGCTTCTCTGACACACAATTGGAGGAGACATCCCTTAAGCTCTGCAATGCTGAAAGACCATTCCCAAAATCCTTCACAGGTTTCACACACTGTTCTGAGAAACATGACCCTGGCAACAGAATCAGTGTCACGTGGGTTAAATTAGGCATACAGTGCAGACAACTAGTAAAGCTAGTAACCCAAACAGTTTCTTATTGAATCCTGCCAATTTAATTTAAGGTGCTCTCTAATAATCTCAGGTATGAATGATAAACTTGAAGGAATCAACCTCACAGGAAGACATGGCCTGAAGAGTCAACTCCTCTTTACCACCCTTCACAGCTACCCAGACTTAAGGCCACCCAACTTATCCTGCATGCAAGTACAGTACCCAGAGCTCCTCCAATATCATCCAGCCCCATTCCACAGCTCAAAAGAGCAAGTGTACTTTGGCTATAGCTAAAGACGACATAGGGATACCCATTTGTGCTAAGTTTGCAGAGGGCACACATAAGATAAAAATGCATCTATTTGATTCTTGACAATTATTTCATTAGGGTGCAGATTATGTGGCAAGTAATGAGCCACAGACATCTCCCAAGCATCCACAAAGTGCACAGCAATTCCTGAGAACATTCTCCTCATGACAGAATCAAGCTGAAAGGAATACCAGTCACTGTTGAAGAGGCTCACTTCTGGCCCAAGCTCCTGAACATTAGCGGTTCTGATGACAATTGAAGTCTTGGGGCTGCGGTCCAGCAGCTGAACAACGGCTCTGCGGATGTTCCTGAGCCGCCGGATGTACACTTCCACGGGGAAGGTGCTGAAGTGGGACCATATGGTTATGGCTATGACGGTGTTCCTGCCGCCCACGATGCTGTTGAGCTCGTTGGCGATGTAGCGCAGCTCGCTGCTGAACACTGTCGAGAAGCGGATGGGCGGCCCGTGGCAGCGGAACTTCAGCAGGATGTTGTGCTTCAGGTCCACAGACATAAAAGGGCCCACGTTCTTTGGGCTCCCCAGGTTGAATTCCACTAGATCTGAAAGCCCAGGAGCAAGTGTTAGTGAAAGATGGTGCAAGAACTTCAAACTGTCAACAAGATGCGTGGACTACAGGGCAAAGCAGGAGTAGATAAGGAAATCTGAACATATTTCAAAGAACTCTAAACAGAAGTGAGCATTATTTTTTAGAGTGGAGTTTATGGGTGTTGAAATCTGCAGGACAGCACATTTGGATTTCATAAGGCTGTCAATGCCTTTTCCAAGTTTCCCAAACTATTTCCTTTTCTCTTATAAAAAAGAAATTTTCCAAATAGTCATTGTTACTCTCTGAGTCCAGCGTTAAAAAGAACCCTTCTAGCAATTTTAGGACTCCATTAAATTGAAAGATTACTTCAATTTGTAGGAATTAAGGCAGCTCAAAGACTGTATTCCAACACAACTGAAGTGCTTTTCACTTCAATTGGTTGAAAGGGATGAGGGAGGCAGGAATACGTAATTGTCTACTGAAATCCTTCTGTTTAAGTAACCTGAATAAGGAAAAGCTATAAACAAAACCTATAAACAGCAATGGAGGTAATTTGCTACTTCATTCCAAAATCTCTCCAGTGACTGGGATGCTGCAAGGCCTTACAAAGGCAACCCACGTGACTTCCAGCCAAGCCTCCTGGGGTGGCCACTTTAACTCACAACCACAGCAGCAGTCCTGTTCCAAGGACTTTGCAGATACCTGATGGCCACATTTACAAGGCCTACATGTTTTCAGTGTCTGCTCAAACATTTGGCTGTCTGCCAGGACTTCTGATGAGATTTTGTCTTTCCTCTTTCTTTGTTTTGTCACTGTCACTCAGTAAAACCAGCTCTGTGTCTGAGATGTGAGAAATAAGGCCTTGTAAAGGTCCTTAAGGACAAAGCTATATAACAAAAAAATTACCTGGAACAAATGCTGTCAAATATTCAAACCATTGCCTTATTGTAGAGTCTCCAAACAAGTGGATTACTTTTCCTTGTAAGCACTCAGTTATATCATCTGATTTATTGAAATTATGGATCCAATGTGTTCTGGACCTCCACTGGTCTTCATAATAATAGCCAGAAGGGGAAGCTGTGGGATCTTCAGCTCTGTCCATACTGCTTAAATCTGGAAGAGAAAAATCCTTTGAAATCAACATGCAACCAAAGCAGCCTACATAATCTTCACAGACACCTAGTCAGTGACCGCTGACAAGAGCTGGGTGGCCGATTATTGTTCAGCTCGGTTTAAATTAAACGGTATCTCTGCCGCTAATGTAAAAACGTATCTGACACCTTTCTCCCTGCTCTGGAAGTGCTGAGTGGCGGGTGTGTGTCCCGGCAGAGAGGAGCGGAGGCAGGGAGACCGGCGGAGCATCTTCCCCATCCCAGCACGGCGCACTGCTGCCCTCCAGCGCCCGGCCTGCGCACGGCAGCGCTGCTCGCCGGCGACACCGACCCCGCGGGGACAACCTGATAACACTCAGAGAAACGTCCAAAAACCCAAAATAAACCCACCAAAACCCCCAAACAGACCAAAACCAACCTCCAGAAAACTCCTCCTATGGAATAACACGTACCTCGGCACTCTAGAGAGTGAAGTCTGAACCATAATGCTTCCAAACTCAGAAAATACCAGAATTAAAGCCAGCATAAATAAAAATGGTTTATGTGCCACTTGAACATGATAATTATGGGAGTCTCTAATTCCAAAGATTTTGTATATTGTCTCTGCTATCTAGCCCCCTCCCCATTTACTGCCTGGGACAGGCAGCCCCCTGAGGAGCAACTACACACCAGCGAAGCTGTGTTCCACAGGATACCTTTTTAACTTGCAGAAGTTGAGCAATACCTTGCAAGCAAAATTATCAGGATTACAGATTATAGGAAGACAAGCTTCAATCTCATGGTTATATCAGCCAAATATTGCCGTATTTCCCTTAGTAACCAGGGTGATATTGGCACATCAAAGTTCCGTGAGATTGTTCCAGGTTCTTCCTTTGCCATTTGTGTATTCAGATACCTGAGCTGAACAAGCATGGAGATCTTCCCTGGCACAAACACCAGCTGCGTGGAGCAGACACGTCCAGCTGTTTAAACACTTCTACTCACCTTGGTGTGGAGACTGCTAAGAACAGCCCATGCCCTGTCATAACTTACTGCTGTTTGATAAAAGCACACCTTGCCGTGGCCAAAATAATGCCAGGGACCATTCAAATTATGTAAAAGTACAAGCACTGGAATTCCAGGGCCCAAAAGCACCCTCTGATAGATGTTTCATTATAACACAGATAGAGCCAACCATAACCATCTTTCCTAATAAGCATTTTTAATTGCTCTTTTTCTATTCAATATCCTCTGCATGTTATATTAGTAGATGTTAACCTCAGAGGTTAGAGGATGTTAACCTCCTTAGACCTCACAGGGACGCTGTAAAAAGCAAACTACAATTACATTTGTATAACGCAAACAATATAATCACAATTACCACAGAACAAAGCCATCAGAAAATTCTGTCTCTGGATTCTGGTTCTTTAATCTGACAGCAGGAACAAGGAGGAAAAAAAAACCCCAACTAATAATGTGGATTCATCCAATATTTATAAACAGGAGAAAGGAAAAAAAGCCTTCACATGGTTATGCCGTTAAAGGCTAATTCATAATGTGAATTCACAGCTTGAATTTATTTGATTTTAAGATTTGATGTAAAAGCAATTCCATTTTTTACCTTTCAGATGTAACGGTTGTACTAGAAAAACTTCTTGGTGCCCCCCAGTAAATCAGCATTTCAAGTCTGGGTATAGTATCATACCAGTTTTGGCCCAGAATTGGCCCTTACTTTGAGATTTTATAAAAAAGAATAAAAGCTCCAACCTGAAGTTAAAAACCAAGAATAGAAAGAAAAACTTGTATTTCAGAAAAAAAAAACGTTTTAAAAATCTTGATCTACATTTACCACCATACAAAAGAACACGTACAGAAAGAACAGCAGAACAATGAGTCTGTGTGTACCATCAATCCTAACAAATCCATACATTCACGAGCATTATACCAATAAGTTCAGTTTATTTATTCAGAGACTGTTGTTCTTGGAAGGAATTTCCCTGAGGAAATGTGCTACTCTTATCAACACTTTTCAACCCAGCATTAATCCTCACGACATTGTAGGTACACTTTGATCATTCATAGCTCCTGGAAGAAGGGTGACAATCAAGTTTTGAATTTGTAGCAGTTTCTCTCAGGAAATATACAAGATAAAAAAAGCAACAAAAATACATCAGCTAAAGGATCTGGACAAAGAAAAGAGGTGGAGGGTAAAATGCTGCAAGCCTAGTAGTAGAACTGTATTTTTTAGTGAACAGTAAAACTAAAAGCAAGAAATGCTGTAAGTTGTCTTCTGTTCAGACTTTATTGCTCAGGTCAGTAACTCTACCTTAAAAGTTTCTATAACCTTATGGAAAAAAAAAAGGAAAGTTTTAATTTAAGAAATAATTCTCTGTGTATCATATTTTATACAGACTTTTTAGAAGCATAAAAAGCTTGCATTTGGATATGAATGAGATAAAACCTCTGAGTTTATTCTAGTACAGACCATCTTTGTTCTGTTCTTAGAAACAGCACAGAACAATTAGGTTCTGGTCCAGAACTGTAGGTTCTGACATCCTGTGGTAACACAAATTATAGTAATACTTGAATGCACTTATCAAAACTCTTGATAAAAAAAGAAATTAAGAAACATCACAGAGCTGTTTTCATTAGATTTAGAGTTTGGTAAACAGTTACTCTAAGACATTTTACAGTGTGAGTAAATGCTAGGGGAAATAAAAGACATTTTTGGCAAGAGAACAAACTACTTTTCTTCTGATTTCCTTTTTTTTGGCTAAAAATCCCATTTATGTACGTAATTTTAGAAAAAAGTTTCATTATTTCTGAACTTGTATTACAGATAACACACAAAAGCCTTCATCGTTTCAAAAGAGATCTGATACTGATTTTTGCACCATGCTAAAAAAACAAATTATTATTTTATACCTGCTGTTCTTTTTATAAATTTAATTATGAATTACAAACAAGAATCTTATGCAGTTCACTTTACCTGTAAATGCCTTGGGCTTTACAATGACTGAATCAGGTCCACTGGAGGGTATCGGCCTTTTGATATTCACGTCACTTGAACAAAAAATGAACACATCAATATTTGTAAAAGTTACTGTGAAACTTTAAAGTAATATTAATCTCAATTTTTCTTACTCTACTTCAAATAACCACATAGTACTACAAATTTTTACTCTAAGTTTATCCTGCTTCCTATAGCTGAATTCATTCTGCATTTACTTTGAAACCACCATCACTATTCTGAATCCAAATTCAAAGTTTCTGAGAACGGCACTAACACAAATCTTACTGACACAAATCTCAACAAAGCAATCAAGCTGTCAGAGGTCTGCAGAAAGCTTTTGGGGATTTGTCCCAAAGATGTTCCCAGCTTGCAGAACCTTGCAGACAAACTACTGCAAGGGTACAGGGCTGCAGTAGCAGCTCCCAGCTGACTAATACTAAGCTCTTGTTCTTTTACTACTATTTTGAAGAGAATCCTTGTCTATTTTTTTTTTTTTCATTTGAGAAATAAATTATTTGGAATTTCTATCAGCCACTTCAGTCAAGGATCTGAGAGCTGAATTAAACAAACAAATAAACAATGAAAACAAAACAAACAAAAAAAAACCTTTCCCATTCCCATATGGAAACATCAACAATAAATAATAGCAATATTTTACAGGTGGACTGGCAGAGACACGAAGTCAAAAGACCCACGTACAAACTTCATATGGTAGAGCCAAAAAAAAAAAATTCCACTGATGCTTACTTTTTATTTCTGGTCTTGGTTACGAACATGCACACATGCTTTCCTAAATTTGGAGCTGCTACTCTAAAATCTTTCCCAGTTTAGGCCTCAAGTGAACATAGTGCCAAAAGGATGTTTCCTACAACATTTTTGTTGGAAAGCAAGGCAGTAGCCTACAACTACAACTCTGACACTAAATAGTAACTAACTTTATCTAAATTCAGCTGTGTAATTTGATACAAAAGCAGTTCTGCTTTTGTACTCAGGCACTAAGAGATGGTTTGGGTTTGGTTTTTTTTAATGCTGAATGCAGAAATAAAATATGACTGTGAAACTTAATTTAGTTTGATACTTGAAATAACATGCACAGATCATTTCCACTTGCATGGGTATTGCTCAGCAATTTGTTCTACCAGGTGTTTTCTTTATGAAAGTGTTTCTAAGATTTGCAAGTCATACTGAGCAACAAGGAACACATTTAAGATAATTTTTTATGAGGAAAAAAAAATTTGCAATTTCTGTAAAAATAAGCATAAAACCCAGACCCTTTTTAGGGAGTTTAAATTTTGCTAAAAACACTTCTCAAAGCATTGTTACTGATACTGAAATTGTAGGTATGGAAACAGAAAATAAGAAAACAGTTCCCCAAACCAGTGCCAGATTTAGACAGCATGCTCTTGTGAAATTCAGTAGCACAGAAAGAGAAGCACAGAAAGAAAACTACATGCCAAGTTTCTTTAAGATTGCTAAGATTTTTGGACAGCTGAATGGAGTTCAACAACTCATACCAAACACTTGATCCTACAGATACACTTCCCCTCTAAGGCAATGTGTCATATTTAAACAATAGGCCAAAGTTTGTATAAAAAAAAACCCAAACAAAACAATTTGACGGGATATATAAATTTAACAACATACAAACCTTTGGAAAAAGAGGCTTTCCTCTCGTGTCAGAAGACCTTTCAGATATCCACCTTTGGCATGGCTGATTCGGCTGGCACAGGACAGTTTTCGAGGCTTGTAACAGAACCATGGCTCACCCGTGTAGAGATCTGTGAAGTTACAGACTGGGAGACCTCCAGGCAAGCAAACATTGCACTCTGTAGTTTCTGAATACCTCCCAGACTTGAATGAGCTTTTGAAATAGACTCTGTCCGGCCTTTCCTCTCGTAAGCGCATGAGGACTTGGATTGCTTCACTCGGATGGACAAGTGACACAGAAACTTTGACCTCTCCTGGCCAAAGCAAGGTAAAGAAGACCTTGTAAAGGCCATTATGGCAATCTACAATCCTTCCTGCTGCTCCAGCTTTCAGCCCAGGAGAGTGAATTCGTGCCTGTAAATAGTCTCCACCATACTGCTTGGGTTTTCCTTGGAAATCCTTCATACGAACGAGTACCTCTAACTGATCCCCCACCTTGAAGAACCTGCTGGGTTTCACAATCACAAAGTCACTGTGTGTGGGATCAGTGCTTTGTGCAAAGGCGATTTTGCCATCAGGGGGCTTTGGCCACTGTATTGCAGCAAGCAACGATTCCTGCTCCGCTTGTTCCCTTTTGGACAAGGTCTGCTGCATGTACCCACAGTAAGGCTTCCTGGTAGTTTTGGCTGTCTGTGACAGAGAATGCTGGACATCGTTTTCTGTTATCCAATTCGATCCTGAAACTGTGTCATCATCCAGGTGCTGGGGAGAAAAAGATTACCTGAAGCTGTGCTATGAAATGAAACGCTGTGAATAATGGATGCTTTGTCAGGAAATGATCCCAAGAACTGGGCTTTGCTTTACAGAGCTTTGAAGCTGACCAAATGAAGCAGCTTCACTAGAAGACCCAAAACTATTACTTTGACCACGGGATTTCTAAGGAAACAGGTGGGCAACCTGCTTTGGCAAACAAGCACTTAAAGAGATCACATCCAATGTATGGCAGTGTTTCAGCTACAAGTATACTCTCTAAAAACCAGCAATGTGAAAAAAATGACAAAAGGTTGGATGATTAAGTTATAACTCATATTTTCTTTTCTTCTGCAGTAACATTTTAGTCTCGTAGCACCATGAGGTCTAATAGCTGCCCCATGTAATGCAAGGAAATAGGGTTTCTTTGAGATGCTACACTGCAGGTTAAGCTGACGCACCCCTTCCAGAGAAGTCTGCTGCATGTAGCAGCTGCAGTCATTTATCTGGTCACACTCACATCACTTCTTGGCTAATTATCTGAAATGCATATTTCCCTGTAATGTGTACAGTGGAAGAAATAAAAGAACAAAAGCCCAGACCCTCCTGGGACAATGAATTCACAAGCCAGTTGGCAAGTAGAATAGAGCAGGACAAGCTAGGACTAAACAGGCAAAAAACCTGCTTTATTTCTAAGATTTTAAAATCTATATACAGCTGCTTCTAGCACTAAATGAAACAGCAAGCAAAACATCCCCTAATCCACACAAGCTTAAAAATTAAAATAGTTAAGTACAAAACTAGACTAAGAGAGAGAGATTCTGCTGAAACTTGAAAAAAATGCATTTTGTGCAAAAACTGTATTTTCATGCAAATGACTGCAGATACCATCTTCTTTATGACATCACATAATTTTGCAGGGTAGCATTAGGAAAATTTTTAAAATAGCAGTCTAAGACTCCAGAGGTACCCATGAGACTTCTAATCAGAAATGCAAAAAACACCCTTCAAATACACACAAAATCAGCAGTTAATGAGCAATTAATTACCAGGTATATATAATAGAACTTATCCATAGTTCTATTTGACAAAGAAGGAAAATAGTTTTTCAAGCAAAGATTAAAATTATACAGTGTACCATTTACATGGCATCAGATGATATGCTAGTTCAGATTTGAAAGATAGCTAAAAGATTTAAACAACGTTATTTGAAATCTTTAAAAATATCATATTTAAATGTTGGTACAATATTACCAATACCCCAGTGTTCTCCATTTAATTCCTCCATAACTAACTCAGTAATGTACTAAAAGTCACAGCACTCATATTAAAGCTTTGTTCATTGTTATAAACCTTTCTTAGGCCATGGAAATATCAGAAGTGTCTTAAAATCATTTGAACCACACTGAGATTCAATATACTTTTTTAGAAGAAAGGTAAACCTAACAAGCAGTAGAAACACATAGGTGTTTGAAGTCTGTGACATAAGTTGGTTTTGATCAGCTTTAGAGTAAGATGATGAGCACAAGAGGATGTAGGATGGATACACAAAATCTCCTTCATTTGATATCCAAGTTAACTAGAAAACCTGAAACTGTAAATTGCTACACTGTAGCTCTAAAACATAAATTGACACATACTCATCTATACACCAGATGTTAACATCACAATAGAAGCTTTTGCTTCTGCTTTATATTCCCACCCAGGATATAATAGATTTTCCCTGAAGGCCATCTGAGATAATTCTTAATTATTTTTGTTTTCCATCACAGCAAGCCAAGCTGCAGATGTAAGCTGCACATTACTTTTATTACTCCAGTAAATTTCAGCCAAAGCTGAGAGTAAATCTGAGGCACAGTTCTACTTTAAATCTTACCTACATGCATTCTTGAATTGAGACAAGCTTCTATTTTTGGATACCTTTATAACTTCCTCCCTTCATCTGCTCATGCAGATATATATATATATATATAAAACAAATATATGTATGTATATATATATATATATATAAAATATATAAATATATATATATATAAAACACAGAAAATACTGCATGGAAATATTTTTTAAAGTTAGCTATATATTTTGATGCATCTAATAAGCTGGTAACAATGTCTGAGCAAACACATTTACATGTTTTCCTAAAGAGGATTGGAAAGGGAGAATATGGGTGTGTGATTACTTGTTGTTTCCAATGTAAGTTCCCAAGAGAAAGTTTCTGGTTTTCTGTTGGTTCTTCAGTGGTTGGTACTTTGGGCTGGGGGACATGGGAAAAACAAATCCATTCAAATTAAGAAGAGATGGTTATCTAAGACAGCTTAAAAACTGACATATCCATATTTTTAGTTTTCTATAAATTTCCTGAGGGTTTTAGACCCAGTCTTTCTGTCAGAGATGTAGAAGATGCCATTTCTGGCCTAGCTAGCCTTTCTGAAGTCTTCCCAGGGGCATACCTATATCTTTCAGTGGGAAAGGGTGCAAAGAACACCAAGCCAACAAACTCATTCAGAAAACAGAACATGGTTTGATGTCTCCAAATCAGTCCACCTACACAGATTTTTAGCAGAGCATAAGGCCAAAGCTCTTCACTTGTATGCAGCTGAGAACAAGGACAAGCACTGTCACTTCAACATCTCCAGGTTATGTTCTACTAAGCAGAATAGATCATACCACAAATATTTCCTCAGTCTATCTTGAAAGGGCCTGAGAGGGAAGATCCATGAAGGTAAGAGCAGAGCTTCTCCAGCATCCTGAAAGACCAATCATTCTCCAGCATCCTTGTTCATCTTTACAGCCCTCTTTCAAGCCTAACCAGGACCATGTATTGCTGCAGAATTATAAGCTTGTGTGTGAAAATAAGGTATACAATGTACGCCATTCACAGGAGAAAATATTGCAGAGATTCTCTTTGCCAGTAAAGGCAGAAAAAGCTTCAGAGTCAATTAATACACCAAAGGTCCTTGACTGGAATAGAAAAGCTTTCCAAACCCTCTTCCTTTTTTAAGTGTTTCCCAGGCTCAGCTCCAAACAAGTACTCAAGTTCTCCTGCCTCCACAGATACACAAGGCCTGCCCTGAGGTAAATAACTAGCTTAGTTTGTCCCCACTTCATTTCCTACTCCCTCTTGGCATTTCCAAATCTCTCTGGCTCCTCTATGTTGTCATACCGAGACTGTGCAGAACTGAGGGCTTTCTACTGCAATTAGTAACCAAAACAAAATAAAATTATTTTATGAAAAACAGATAAAGAGGATTTCTCAAGAGTGCTCTTCCTTTATGACACAGATTCTTTTAGTGTTCATTACAGCTCCATGTTGGATAACACCTGCTTTGCCTATTTCCATGTATACTCCATTCAAGGTGTCATGTAATTTAAGAGCAATTCCCAATGGGCTTTGTTTGTTTGTTTGTCGGGTTTGAGGGTTTTGTGTTTGTGTGGGAGGAGTTTGTTTGTTTTTGTTTTGTTGAGCTTTTTTCTATCCTTATTTTTTTTCATTTACTGCATTTTGAAGCTAACCAGAACCCAAATGTGACCACAAAGTAATTTAATGGCTATCTGCCAAGTAACACAGGCAGGACAGAAGAGATTACATGTCAGTTAAGCACTAATAAATCTACTAGCAGTTCCTGCATTAGAGATGTCATAAAAAGGAAAAAAGGAAGCTGTATTTTTATGAGAACTAATGGAAGTTTCAGCTCATCTCCTCATCTTTTGGCGTTCTCACCGCCAACTAAGCAAAAATTAGATACTACATATAGATTAACTCGGGCAATAATGCTCTCAAAGATATTCTAGAAGGGTCACAGAGTGTTGGGAAAATCTGCAATGAACACCTGTCCTCTGTTAAACACCACAATGTAGGTGGCTGATGAAAATGTTGAGTATTTCCATTGCTGCTGAAAAGGTGGAACTCCATCTCAAAGCCCAGTATCTTCCACCAGCTGTTAACTCCTGCCTTGGCCTGGTGCATCCCAAACAGCTGCTGCAAACCTGCATAAATCACTGTCACTAGAGCAAGAAGCAACACAGGAGATCCCCAGGCAACAGGCACAAGTGGAAAAATAAAAGTTCCAGGAGACAACATCTGAATCTGAACAAATACCAATTCCTGAAAGATCAATCATCTTATTTTCAGTCATTTTACACTCCAGGTACTTTGTTACCTATGACAGATATGAAGTCAGTTCTCTATCATTACCACCTCACAGCGCTGAATGGCTGCTAAACTACTCTAAGTGACAACACCAATCCTCAAAAGCCATCACCTGACAGTCAAATGTTCCAGAAATAATTTGAATAAGAAAAAGTTATCTTTTGTAGGCACCTGCAATTTAGCAGCAAAAATTTAAAACTTGTTACACAGTTCTTTTGTTCAGTTTCAGCTGTCTTATTCCATATGCTGTCCTGGCAAGAACCTTCCCTTCTCCCCATACACTCTCACTTCAAGGTGCTTTTGAATAAAATAGTTCTCACAACCAATCCCAAAGTGGTTCTGTCACTCTAAAAGCCACTAGTACAACTACACAAACCCTCCTGCATTGTGAGAGCTTGATAATGGGGCAACATCCTGATACTTCACAAAAATTGCTGTACGTTTTATCAGTCTGGCTATATTTCCAGAAAAAAATATAATAAAATATTATTCTGGTACTATATGATCAACTGTGTGATCTCAAGAGAATAGCTATTCCATAATAAAAAGCAAAGTAAATAATAAGCTGGCTACCAAACATTTTGTGGACAGCTTGGTTGGTTTTTTGGGTTTTTTAAACAGAAGACAAGGAAAGTAAAATTCTGACTTGGGTATGACTACTGGGAGAGTGTCATTAGTAGTTTAAGAAATTAAGCAGGAACATTCCAACATGAAAAACTATAAAATCCTAAAGCAAAAAAGAATTGCCTTAGATCTTGAGCTTTAGCCAGCTACGTTGGATGATTTGGGGATAAGTACATCCCATACATACATAAGTACATAATAAGTATGTCTGATGCATTCACAAACACGTTCTCAAGAGTAACCAACAATAAGCTCTCCTTCCACAGCCTGAACAGATTTGGTTACAGATATTCTGTCAAAGTTTTGTAAGATTTTTTCTGGCTTTGATCACTGACTGAAAAGAATCAGCATAAATGCCTATGTTAGAGTGCTTGGAAAACTGAGCCAAGACAAATACAGGAGCAGGTCCATTCAGAAAAGTCATGAAAACAGAAGGGGTTAGAGTTGCATGTTATAGTGTAAAGATTTACAATCAACACAATACTTAACTGAGTTTAGAGTAGCAGACATGTAAAGGGCAACAATGCCACAGACACTTATCATGGACAGTGGCAAGAAAAAGCACAGAGCAAACACCCAACCTGCATTTTCCATTTCACTCTCAAAGCACTGCCAGAGTCCTTTTCTCCAAGAAATGAAATTTTAAAATAGAAAGGAAACACTTTAAGACCCTAAATATCAACATTCCTCAGGCAACAGCAAAATTGAACCACAGAAAGAGAAAATAAAAGCTACCTCTTATGAACAAAATGGATCACACTAACTTGAACCAAAAGTCCATCAAACACAGGATTTTGATTGCCAATAGTTTCCAACAGCAGGCATGTGGGAAAAGAAAACATGTTGTGCCATTTCCTCCTGTAGACTGAACACACTTTCTAGCACTTTATGGTTTCAATTTCTTCAACACTAGGATAAACATCTTTAAGATCTAGTATCCCCTAATAGATTTTTCTTCTGTGCATTCATCCAGATTTTTTGAATGTATGCATTTAGTAACTATAAAGACCTACTGCAAGGGTTTCTGCAGCTTTGCTGCAATCCATAAGAAATATCCCTGCTTCCTTTAAAATCAGCATCTGCAGTTTTTATTTAATGTGTCCACTAGTACTGGAACATGTAGCCAGTGCTCATTCTTCAGTTATTGATCCTGACATGCTCGTGATTTTAGACTTCTCAAACATCTTCCTTACCCTTACGAGATCCTCTTCTGATTCAGCTATATTCTGTGTGGGGTGAGGGGGCTTTACAGCCCCTCTTTCAGAACATTTCATTTGGGCACCACTAGGCAGGAGGAAGGAAGATTCTGCAAGTAGCATACACAGAACTTAAAAGCATAAAGCAATTACTGACTGGCTGATGTGCACAAAGGACAGCTATAATTTAACGAGGTGTTAGGCTAAGCATTACAATGCTCATCCACCTAATGCAGCACTGGAATGCCTGGCCAGGCAGGCAGCCAATGGGCAGGGTCAGCCACCAGAGCTCCCTCAGACAGATCCTCATCTGCCTTGACTTTAATCTGGGGCTACTGACTAACCAGTTTGAAAGCACCTCTGCACTGAAGTGATAAGGAAGATGAAGAAATATGCAAGACAGATACAGTGAAGGGAAAAAGGTAAAGGCATATAAAAACTGCATCATTACAGGCTGGAGGTGAACAAGCTAATAACAGCTCTGCAGAAAAAGACCTAGGGATTCCAGGGGACAGCAAACCCACGGTGTGTCAGCAGCACAGCATTGTGGCAAGGAATTAACAAGATCCTAACCAGCTGATTGAGCAAAGTTATAGTTCTCCTCAACTTGACAACGGTGAAGTCATGCCTAGAACACTGTGTCTGGTTTTTGAACAACCCACGGCAGAATAAAGCTGGCAAAACCAGACAAGAGCCCCTGAGATGATGAGGGAACTGAAATAACACTAAAGGAACCAAAGGATCCTTTCTTAAATCTGGAGAAGACCAAAAGGGGATCTAACTGCAGTTTTCACATCCTACAGGAGAGCCACAGAGGAACTGGAGTTAAAGTACACTCTAATACGATAAGAGGCAACCTCCTGTTCCACATAAGGCAAACATTCTTCCTTCTAAGAGGGATGCAGCATTGCAATAGGCTGCCTAGGTAGGTTGTGAAATATGAGTGTCCTTGAATACTGTCTAAAATCAAAATACCCTGTTGCAATCCAAGCTAACTCTAATGCCAGCCTTTTGAGGAGGGTGTTGGATTCAATACCTCCAGACATGCCTTCAACTATGAATTTTCTGTGATTCCAATTCATAGCTAAATGCTGTCAGTCAGACAATTCTAACCTTACACTCAAAAGTCAATGCTGCTCAAGCCATCTTGGAGAAGAAACGGGCTCCACTTACCTCTAACTGAAAAAAATTATGGACCAGGACCACAACAGCCAGCACTGCCATAAGCAGGCAGAAGAGCTGCAGTCTGAACGAGTCACGCCACATGGTCCATTCGTGTCTTTCCCTCCCATGTTAGACATTGCCATGACTTCCATTCACCACAAACACGAATGTCATTTCGTCTCAGCAGAGCACGAGAGAATTCAGTTGACTTCCACTTCATTCCTGCAAGTGCATTTACAAAAACTGTATTAAGTTTGAAAATGCTACTAGAACTAAAAGGTGGGGCAGTAACTAGCACAATAGAACTGTCAGCACAGATTATTTTGTGGAACTAATCTGAACAGCATTATCTATCGTGTTACATAAATCTCTTGGATGTGCCAAAGCAAACCATTACCATAAAGCCGGTCTCACCTGTAAGTGATACAAAAAAAAAAAGACAAAAGAAGAGCGCAAGATTTTGTTCTGGCAATCAAAAAGACCAAAACAAATAACAACCCTCTTATTTATCTGTTAGGCCACACCACCACCATCCAGACATTACCAGATCGAAGCAGAAACTTGTGGTTTTAGACAACTCTCATTTACCTGTTTACACATTCCAATAAGTTGTTATTAAACATTAATGTCTGAAACAAATTTGGATAAGCAAGGTAAAACTTACTTCCTCCAGTTTTCTGCTTGGGAAGAGGGGAAAAAACAAATCAATTGTAGCATTAAAGAGGAGATACCTAAGAGAATTGAAAGCGCTGAAATTTAACTTCATGCATCACCCATAATATTACATCTTCCCTGTTTTGCTTTTTTATCGTGCCTTTTATCTCAGGTACTCATATGCAGCTCTAAAATAAACAAAATAAATAAATAAAAAAAAACAATTGGAAGGAATACAATGTGTTGGAATTTGGTATTTCTGGTTCTTTAAATCTAATAATAGCACTGTCTTTCATAAACTTTAACTTTCATACAATATTGTTTTTTAAGGTTGCTTGATGGCTGATCTGCTATAAAATCACAGACTTAACAGCCACTGATAAAGTTCTCAATGCTTGCTCAGAATGACTCTTAAACCTTCCTTTCTTTCTGAGAAGGACAATTTTGATGCAGTCTTTTTGCAAGCAAAAAGGGTACAGTTCTTGCAGAGGCTCTAAACTTGGAAACAGAAAACAGATGGCAAGAAGAGACAGTCAAAAGACACCAATCTCTCCAAACCCAATATTCTCAGAGCAGCATTACTCATACAACCATGCACCAAGTGCAACAACATAATCAAATGATTATATAAACTTTGTATAACTTTCTATAAATAGTATAACTGAGAATTTATACAATTAAGATAACAAAAATATATAGTACCTATAGTTTTAAGACCATATGAAAAATGCTATGTAAATTTAAATGAAAGATAATGATACATTACATATAAAAATAAAAAAATTATTTATCAAATGAACACAGGCTAGAAAACTGAAATACATTACTGATATAACCAGGACAGCCCCAAAATAGACCACACATCAAATTGCTTTACAAGGATTATAGGGATTATAACTTCAAATGCTTTGCTGAGAATTACAGAGATTGTATTTCTGACCAATGAACTAGCATTGAAAGAGCAAGACATCCATTAAAGTGAAAGTACCAAAATGCCACCAAAATGCAGCTTTTTTGGAGCTGCTCTGCACTAATATGAATTTTATATAAAACAACAGCTTAGGTCATAAAATGATAATAAATATACCTAAATACAAGAAAATGCTAATTTAAGGATGCATACGTACATTTGAGGAAGAGAAATACATTAGACAAAACCAGAATTTTCAATTGTGTTGCTGAGAATTCTTACCACATGACCAAAAAGCACAAGACACTGAAAATTAATAGACTGCAATTTCAGATGCCTAAAATGACCACAAACGCTTTCCCATGCAGTTTTAATCAAAATTTTCCATGTTATATAGGTATCAAATGCCCTAAAACATTTAAATGTACAGGTTTAGAGCTTTTTTTATGCTAAAGGTTTAATATACTGCCAGTTCTATGACAATTGATGAAAAATTGATCCTGTTCATTTTTTTTAAAAGGGAAGCGCAAAAGTACACCCAAAAGCCTTAGGTTCTTACCCTACTCCTGAAACGTTCTCTGAAGCCATCCACACGAAAGGCCAGACAACCTTGGAAACAATACATAAAAAAAATAAGTATATCTATAGAAACACACACAAATATTTTTAAATAAAATTCATACATTGGTGGTTTGCTTACAGTGGCACAAAATAAAATGGCAGTTACAACTTTTTACCTGTAAAATCACTTTAGTTTCTACAATGACCCAAGAATTTTGTTAAAGTATTTTATTCATTTAAACTTCAATGCCGTGCCTTTAAATTTTCTTCTAAGTATTACTTCTCCCAGCCCACAAGCCAAATTTTACCCAATGTTAAAAACAAAAAGCGATTTAATGACATACTTATGAACACGTCATTAAATCATGCCTCATGTTCCAATACAGGATTGTTGCTTTGCGTTTTTTCAAGTTGTCAATTACCGTCAGATCTCTATCCCCACAGCTCTCTAAGCCAGCAGCGTTACAAAAGCAGGTACGAGGGCAACCTCTCCAAATTTTGTCACGCAAATCGCAAAGGCACAGAGGAGCCGCTCCTTCTGGCGATGCCCAAACCGTGTCACCGAGGCACAGGGGCTCCAGGCTTGATGCTCGCGTGGCTGCCAGCACGGAAAAATCAGATTTGCATCTGTTTTGCGCAGATTTCACCCTGGTCCCCAGGGCTCGGGGAACTGGCAGCTCCCGGCCGGGGAACACGGGACCGGACACGCACTCACGAAACAGGGACGGAGGCAGCGAGCAGGAAGCACCGCTGCCGGCAATGAGAACCGCACGCCTCTGTTTTATTGCTTCAAAGGTACTTTTTAGGGTGCCGCGGAGTGGCCATCCCCGGGGAGCGGCACAAGGCATCCCCAGCATCCCCGGGGAGCGGCACAAGGCAGCCGCTGGAGCGGCAGGAAGCACCTTCAGCCGCCGCCTCGCTGAACGCCGAGCGGCGCGGCCCTGCGGGCGGGCGGAGCCGGCCGCGGGTACGAGCGATCCGAGCAGGGCACCCGCCAACCCCGAGACCCCGAACCCGCCTCCCGCCCGGGCCTCCCTCAGCGGCCCCGGGCCCGCCGCCGCCCCGTCTGCCCCGCCAGGCTTTCCCCCCGCACACACCGCGCAGGCCGCACCGCCCGCGCCCCCTCACCGCAGCCCCCGGCTCTTCCCCGGGCCAGGCGGCGGCCTCGCCCCCGGCCCGGAGGCGCTGGCTGTAAATGCCCGGCTCCCTCCGCCCCTCCTTCCTGCCCGCCCCCGACACAGCGGCGGCGGCCGCCACGCCTCCTCCCGCCCCGCCCCGCTCCGCTCTCGGCTCCGGCCCCGCGGCCGCTGCCGCAGCCTCGGTGCCGAGAAGGAGCAGTGAAAAGGAAAACAGACACAAAACCCGACAAAAACAATGCCACCGTCGCTGTAATTTTTGATCCACCGCAGGTGAAGCCTAAGAAAGCAGGATGTGAGAGGGTGGCGCGGAGCCGGGCACTATGGCCCGGGTGGCATCTCCATGGTCCGCAGCCGCAGCCCCCGGCAAGAGCGAAGGCTCTGACACGAACCAGCGCAGCTCAAAGGCTGCCCAGCCTGAAGGCAAACGGAGCAGGGAGCAGCTGAGGCGGTGTCTTGGACAGAGAGAAGGTTGTGAGAGCCTGACCCCAGAGCAGCTGCAAAGGCTGAGCGGGGGATAAAGGCACGGCCCAGCACAGCAGAACTGGGCAAACGCAGCTGGATTGAAGGCTGGACTTCAAGATGCTCGATGAGGACAGGCACACAGTGTTGAGCTGTGCACCCTGCACCAAAGCCAGGCGGCACTTCCAATCTGCAGGGCATCTACAATTAGTTTTGTAAACACTGCGTAAGTTTGGGAATGCCAAAACACACACCTGCCAGCAATTCTTTGTATGAGTACAGCTGAAGGGCTTGAGCTTATTTTTACTAAGGAATACGGGGTTTGCTTAAAACCAGAAACAAGACAGAGCTGCTGAAATATTCTTGTGAACACATTATTTTAGCCATTAGAAATTCCCTACTTTTGCCCCCATCCCCATCAGCCAGAGCTGATGAAGTGATCAGAACTCTTATTTTTCTCCTTCCTGCATCTTACAACAGTGGTTACCTGGTAGAGATAGAAAGCAAAATCTCAACAGGCGCCAGCTTTTGTTTCTATTATACACTGTAGGTCAAGAATTGAAAACCATCTGGCTGTACAAGCATAACACATTAAAAAGATAGTATTTTGAAAGATAATTGGTACAGATTTTTTTCCTCTTTCAATACACAGTCTTTTAGTTCTATAACAGACTCTTTTCATTCTTCCTTCATGAGCCATGCAGTGCATCAAATTCCCCTTTGCAGCTCAAGGTGCAACCTAAGGCAAAACTTGTGTGCCAAATGCCAAGCATTATCCCATCTCTTAATATATCTGGAGTGATGTTGAGGGTGAAGGTTGGGAAGGTGACAACAGTAAGTAAACCTGTCACTTCTAAGGAAATAGGTACTGCTATGCTATTTTCTGCCACATTTTACATTTCACCTCCCCTCAGAGATGGCAAGGTATCCCCACACTACTCTCCATAAATTCTTCAGTTATCATTATTGTTAGTCTTGATGAAGGTCCAATAATGAATCAAATATGCCTTTCTAATCTCTACCATGGTAAGCCCTTTTGCACAGAGGCCAGAAACCAATTACTCAGTGTTTGCCCCCATGCTCTACAGAAAGCACCATGTAAAAGGCTGTTTGGGTTGAGTATCAACAGCATTAGTGAGGTCTGTTCCACTTTGTCACCATGCAACATCTAAGTGTCATTAGTCCTAAAGGAAGTACAACTTGAGCAGCTGTTGCTCACCTTACATCTCTCCTTGTTTATCACACCACAAACACTTGGCAATTATTTTGAGATGAGTACAGAAAGCTGGAAAAAGAAAAATGAAAAAGAAAAATGAAAAAGAGTCTTTTCCTTGTTTCTTTTTCCAGAATTATATGCAGTTATGAAGTTATGCTGGGCCCTTGGCCCCACTGTCCTTCTCTCCCTTACCTGCAAAGAATAATCAATTAAACACAGTATATTTGATAATATATATAGGACTACTGAACCCATTCTTGATTATAGGCAAGTGTTGAGTAATGTTCCGGTTTGCTCCCTGAGGCAAACTAAAACATGCTTTTGTGCTGAAGTATGGTGAGTTTTAACAAACAATGCATTGGACAGTCTGCAAAGAGCACAACCCACACTGTTCCTTTTCTATAGATACCTTTGATCTGTCTCCTTTTGCTACATTACCCTTGTATCACTTCTCTAATCTTTTTTCCCTTCCACAATCATCTGTGTCTTGCTCTTCTGCAGTCCTTAGAACAGCAAGTTCCACTCTCATCTTCTACACAAGTTCAGCACAGCCCCTGGTTTCAGCCATATCAACTATTAAGGCCTATTTAACTGTTGGAAAAAGTGTTTTGCTGACCTGGTGTCATCCAGATGGTTTTCACATAATCTAATGCTTGTAAAGGGATAATGCTTTTGCTAGAAGAATCCTCTTGCTGCTTCCTCAAGTCATTTTCCAAAAGGTTACACAGAAGCTTTCCTATAGGCACCATCAGCCTTTCCATGAACCTGCCTCAAGCAGCTGTGCTGCATTCCCACTCCAGGGACAGGCAGAAGGGAATGCAGCTTTCCATTTCTTCCAGGTGGCTCTGCTCCCCTTTGGGACTAAGAGAAACTCTTCCTGGTCTCCCATTGTATTTCTGCACCAGACAATGGACATGGCCACAGCCATCTCAGCCATAGGCTGCCCAGAGTAGATCCTGCCAGTTTGACACTGCTACACCAAAGGAAGGGAAGCATCAGGCAGCTAGGAATATGAGAAAGCAGGCGAGAGAAAGGTAGCTTACATGTCCCACTAGTAAAATAATACCTAGTTCATGTGCTTAAAAATTTCAGTATCTGTGAGTAAAGCCAAAAAGTAAGACCAACAGGAAAGCCAATCTGCTGTAAAACTACTGAGCTTGAGAATGAACAAGCAAGGACAAGTGCATGAACTCTATCCTGAAGAGCTCAACAGTACAAGACAGCTGGAGAGCCAGTCTTGAAAACACTCCAATATCACATGTATTTCCCCTAAACTTCAGGTTGATGGGGCTGTAGGAACTACTGATGTAAAGAAGAAAAGTGAATTCTGTTGTAGAGTTTCCCAGTGTCTCCTGTTTCTCCCCAGGTCACACAGACTTTAAGGCATAAGCAGTGGTAACCTACTCAGCACATCTTCCAGACACTTCTCACACCAGAAAACATGCTGCAAATGTTCAAGGGTCTGGGTAGCTTCAGCTGGTGTAACAAGGGATAGGAAATTTCCCAAAGGCTGCTGCTTGAATGCAGTTCAGCACAATGCCAAGCAAACAGCCCTGACTGCTGGACTGCTGCTCCTCACAGCAGTACACTGTCTGAGAATTGTTTAGGCTTTTCTAATGCTTTTTTTTTTTAATTGCTTTCAGTCCAACGCAAACACTCTAAATACATCAGATCTTACATTTTCCAGAGCATTCTTTATGATCATGGGCTTCTCAATTTTCACAATTTAAAGCACTGTAGAAGAGGCTATGACTCGTTTGATTTGGGCATCCTGCGCAGAATTTTCTGACATTCCTTCCCTTGGTGATATCTTCTTGCACATATCAGAAAGAGCAGCTATACTGGTTTTGGATGGAATAGAGGTAATTTTCTTCACAGTGACCATGGTAGGTCTTTGATTTGTGCTGGGAACAATGTGATAATATAGGGCTGTTTTAGCTACTACTGAGCAGTACTTATAGAGCCAAGGGCTTTCCTGCTTCTCACACCACCATGCAAACAAGTGGGCTGGGGCACACAATATGTCCTAACATAGGGAAGGATTTCAGCCCATAAAATTAACTGTTTCCTTTTGAACAAAATGGGTCCATCCACTAGCCATGCCTTTTTTCCAAATCTAGCCAAAGATTTTAATGTCTGATCTTATTACAAATATGAATAAAAGCCAGAGACAAGAGGGCCCTTCAACCTGAGTTCCTGAGGTGCTATGGTTACTATCCCTACGACACACAGCATTTAAACTTACTAGTACAGCTTTAAGGTCTTGACTCTAAAAGAAAAAGGAACTGCTCTTTTCAGGCCTGAAGTTACTTTAGCTATGCCTATTTTTTACTTTTAAATAAAGTCCTAGAATGAGTTGGAAGGGAGCTTAAAGATCACCTAGTTCCAACTCCCTTGCCATAGGCAGGGACATTCCTGCCCATAGCAGGAAACTGGACCAGATTGCCTAATGCCCAATCCAGCCTGGCCTTGAATACATCAAGGGATGGGGTATCCATTTCTCTGGGCAACCTGTTCCAGTGCCTCACCACCCTCACAGTAAATATCTTCACAGAAGAGCAAGAAGAGTCCCACTTAAAAAAAAATCTTTTCTTTGGTGTGATGAAGTAGAAAATCATAGTAAAGAATTAAGAATGTCCACTAACCTCCACGTGTTACAAGTTGAGTGAAAACAAAGTTAGCTTTCTTTTTTCAGTTTTTTTATTGTATTTTTTTGTTTTTACCTTTCAGAGAACTGTGTTGCAGTAAAACATGACTTTCGTGTATGTCTCAACTCCTCAACTGTTTCTTCTTGTTAAAGCCTGAAAGATGCTTAATTAATTTGTTTGTTTAAAAACAGAGCAGGTATCTGACTAAGTCAAGAGACAACGCCACACATTGCAATTGTGTTTCTCTTGATAAGCCCTTAGTCATAATTCTCTCTCTAGAAAGCTCTGTACAGAATACTGTATTAAATCTAAATTAAATATTTTAATTTAAACACAACAGGTAATTAAGAACACGAAAGAGAGCCAGCAACAGAAACTAAGGACTGCAAATCACAAAGACCAATTTCAGAGCCATTGGCAAACTCATTTCATGTACCCTACAACACTTACTGTCCTAGGCACTGCAACAGTGGCCAACAGATATCTCAGCTTACCAAGTAAAGAATGCCAGTGCTTACCTTGTCATCACTTGCTTTCTATTCCTGAGCTTCCCATGTCCAGAAGAGCCCTCCAATTTTAAGATTATGACTATAGCCATAAGAGTCAATATAAGGTACACCTTAAAATTTTCAATAAATGTACAAATCATTTATTTAAAATTCAAAACTCAGAGATACAAACAAAATACTTAAGAAGCAATAAATCCAAACTGTAAACACT